GCCGAGCGCGGCGCCCGCCGCGCCCGCGGCGCCGAGGGACGCGGCCTTCGCGCCGAGCGCAGCGGCGGCGCCGGCGGCGGCCTTGGCGCTGGCGAGGGCGAGGTGGGCGGCGGGCGCGAGGAGCGACGCGCAGATGCCTTGCGCGCGGCGGCGGCGGGGGCGGGCAGGCGAAGGTGCGGACGCCCCTGCGGGCTCTGCCGCGGCCCGCCGCCGCGCGGAGCGTTGGCTGGTCGGAGCCCTGGCAAACTGGGAGGCTGCGGCTTGCCCTAGGCGGCGTGCCGAGCCGGCCGCCTGCGCCCAGGGCGCGAGGCCACCTAGCAAGCCCCTCGGCCGTGCGCGGGCAGCGCAGGTGCGACGGAGCGCGGTGGCGAGGAGGGGCTGCGCGTTATTTGCAGCGGCAGATGCTACGCTGCGCATTCTTCGTCAACCCGCATGAGCTACAATAACATTTCAGCCTCGCACAATGACAGATCGCGAGATCGACTGTTCACGAATGGGGCAAACGACCTGGCTGCCAGTATTATCACGTTTGGAGTTCACTTGCTGTTTGGATCAAATCGCTCAATGCTCGTTGTAAGGCAGCTGCCGCAACAGTCAGGCACGGTCAACGCTTGCTGGGCAAGAGCAGCTGACATCAGCAACTGGCGCGTTGGCACTTCACCTCCATTGCCAGATACCCACACCATCGCCCAAAACCCACCCCATGTGGAGTCCTTCACAGCATCATGTACCGCTGACGCTAGGCTACAAGGCTGCTCGGTCCAGAACAGGCCCTGCCTGTGCAACAGAGCCCTCTGCATCGGCCGCACAACTGCGGCCGTAGCACTTATCATATGTTCATGATATCAATGCACATAATCCGGTGGCCTCACAGGCTCAGCATTAAAGATGCAGCTGGTCGGTCCCACTGCAACAGGCACGCAACCCTTGCCCCGCCCAGGCCAGCGGGTCGGCACACCCTGACGCCCTGCAGCGCTCCCGCGGCAGCAAAGATGGGAACGCAGTGAGTAAGCTTGTTTCACCTTTCAACGTGTGGTGACAGTTCGCCCACGCTGTGAGCTTCGAGCACAATCATGTCAGGCATGGTCGGAGAGTGGCCGCTTCGGCCAAGCATGTGGCAGGCCCCCTGCCTCGTGCATGCACAGTGGGCAGACCGCAGATGTTTCCAGAAGGGTCAAACGCCTACGCATTCTCACACGATTTGTATACGTCCTACATCGTTTGTCATGGACATCACTGCTCAAAGCACATATCCAGGCCCATAAGCCATGTTTTTGGCCCGGCCGACACAGCATAATTGTTGCCACATATCGAGTTTCGTTAGCTTTGCGCCCCCGGCCCCGGCTCCCCGCGCCGCCGGGCCCCTCGCAGTACAAAACCCATGCGCACTATGTGATCTCTGCTCACAATTCCTGAAGGGTTGCTGCAGCCTGCACGACCGCCCCGGCTTCCTTTCACTGTTTGCATACCGTCGTCAGCATACAGTACCACTCGTTTGTCACACCAGTACTGCTGAAGCGGGCGGCGGCCCAGGCGCCACCCTGTACCAACAAAAAGCATTGCGTAGATTGCGTTTGCTTCATTTGATATTTTAAGCAGGCTTTGCAGAGCATGCACAGATCTGCAGCAGTCAGCTTGCTCGGAACGGGTCTCTATCAAACGGGACTATTCTATTGCGACTACGCAGCCGGTTGAGACTATTTTGCTGGAAACATGCAGCAGCAGTGCGCACGCTGCGCATGATGCGGTGCGTCGCATGCGTCCAAGCGGCTCGCGCCATGGCGCTGGCTGCGATTCTGCCTCGCGCCTTTTTGACAACAGCGGCGCACACATGCAAACGCAGCGATGGCAGAGATCTACACGTTGGGGGCAGTCCCTTCCAATCCGGCGAAGCACCAACTTGGCGTCTGGCATGCGGCGGCCCGCCGCATGCTCCACCGGGTGGAGCATCAGCAGCACGCGGCACGGCACGTCGGTAGTCGCTGCACAGTCGCAGCGCGCGGCAACGTGCATGGTGCGCCCGCGGCGCGAGGCGCCGCAGCTGATCTGCCAGGCGGAGATCGTTTCGGTCCAGTTTGGTGCTCTTTGCTGGCGGAGGTGGCGCGTCGGGCTGACTGTCGGTGCTGCTACCTTATTATCTGTGGGCCCCGACGGCTAGGGGATGGGGGGCCTTCGCTTCAACGCTGCGCCGGCACCGACCATGGTTCATGCTGATTCAGATGCACTTTCCTACGCGCTGGCAGCTGCAGTGATGGGCCGTGTCATCAGCAGCACATGGCCGCGCATCCGCCGGATCTGGCAGGTGGCGATTGTGGCAGCGATGCCGGCAAGCTGGCGGGCGGATCGGCCGCTGCGCATGGATATTGGAAGCATCATGCAGCGGCACTGCTGGCGGCGACTTGGAGGTCCTGAGTTCATCCCACAGCAGCATGCGATACCGTGTGTAGCAGGTGGATAACCGCAGGATCAAGCAGGGGGCATGCTCGCCTTGTTGATCTTGCTGCTGCGGATGAGACACATGTTTGTGGTTTGAATGGCGATATGCGCAGCTGCACATGGCAATGTCTGCGGCAGCGCCCAGCTGGGCATTGGCGGCGCTGTGTAGTGGCGGCGCTTGGCTTGGCACTGGCGCAGGGGGGCTCAGCACGTGCGTCGACGGTCGAGGGCTGCGCGGCCTGCGGCGGGTGCAGGAGCTGGATTTATAAAAGTTCTTTCGTTTTTTTTTGCACTCAAAGCGCCAAAAACCCATCTTTGGCCCCGCAGGTGCTCGCGGAGCTGCCCTTGACTTGGCTAGTTCGCCTGAAGATTCAGGCCCCTGCTTCGTTCATTCATTATTTCGATAGAAACAAGGTGAGACCCTTCAGAAACTTACTGTGTGTATTGCGGTCGTCTGACATGCCCTGACAAACCCGCTCGCGCACGGTTGCGGGTCCTTCGGGGGCAGCCAGGAGTGCCCACCGCCTGTATAATACATGTGTACGCATGGAATGCGTAGAAACGCTGCCTGCTGCCCTCGAGCAGCCGCTGCAGTGCGACCCGGCCCTCGCACTACGCGCCTGCTGACACAGTGTACTGCTGCTCTCTCTCTCCTCCTCTTGCCCTTTGTCTCACCATCTTCAGCTTACAAGCATCGCATCCAGAGACCAAACTGCTCGCCATCAAGCGCCCACTGAATTCCACAACGATGACGTCCAACTGCACAGCTGCGCCGCAGCGCGCCAACGCGCAGAACAAGGTGCGCATGCGCGCGCTGCCGCTGCGTGCGGCACGGCCAGCTGCCGTCACCGACTGCATTTCCACTCACAGCAACCGCACATTCACTTTAGACTCAACGCATGCACCCGCTGCCCTTTTTGCGTGTGTTGTCTTTTGCGCGCCGACTGGCAACTGCGCGAGGCCCGTACTTGCGTGCCTTGTCGCCGAATGAGAGCTGCTTGACACCTGCCGGCTCGTTGCGCACCCCCCCACACGTTGGCCCGCCCCCTGCCCAGGCGATCAACGGCCCCTGGCCGACCATCCAGTCCGCCAAGGCGCGTGGGAAGAAGGGATCGCAACCCCCGGTGAGACCCTTTGAGCTGTACCCAACAGTGCAGCCTACGCGCGAGCGCGAACCTCCCACGCCGGGTCTGCTGAGATCAGTTGTCAAGGGTCCAAACGAGTGTGAGAATGAATGCTCCAATTGCAGGTGTGCTCAGAGCTGCATGCATGCCCAACCTTGCGCTGCTGGCGATGAAATGCCATCCAGCATTGCGTCAAGGAACGCCTTGCCCCCGTTGTGGCGCCCCCATCCTCCTGATCGCCGGCAGGGCGCCACCGCCAGCGACACTGCCGCTGGCACGGAGAGCGTGGCGGGCCCGACGAGTGACACGGTGCGCGTCAATGCCGTGAGATACAAGGGGCGGCGCTGTGCAGTCAGTGCTGCAATGTACGCCGCGCAGGGCGGGCGACCGTTCGCTGCAGCAGCGCAGACGCATGCCCTGTATCGCGTGGGTGAGGAAGCCGCAGCGCGTTCTCAGCTACCAGCTTGGGCAGCTGCTCACATGCCGTGTGCTTCTCACCTCAGCGTGCCCCTTGACTGCCCCATCATTGCCGGCCACAGCAACCCTGATATTCACTTGCCTTCGTCCCTTGTCCCCCCTACCCTTACCCCTGCAGCCGCCCAAGGAGCAGCGCCTGTCATACCTGGCCATCGCCAACGGCACGGCCCCCAAGACCCTGGCCACCAACCCCAAGACTGTCCTTGGCAAGGCCAAGCCTAGCGGAGACACCGCTGAGATGCGGCCGCCCACGGCCACAATGGCGTCCCTCGGGACTGGCAACATGCGCCCTGCTGGCAACAAGGTGGGTGGGTGAGGGGCAGGTGTGCTTGAGCCTTGCTTTGGCCGCAAACTCTGGGTGCAGCTGATCGGCGGCGTGGGAGCTTTTGCGGGGCCGCAATGCTCTTGCCATTGGATGCTTGTTGCAGCACCGACGCCCTTGTTTTTGCTTGCCGTGGCTTCTGGATCACGGCCCTATTCCCACCCTTCCCAGTCCCCGCCACCGCCGCGCCCATAGCTGCAGGCCGCGGCGGGCGGCACGAAGTCGCTGCCGTCCTGCGCAGGTGGCGCGATTGGCAGCATCCACGAGGACAAGGGCAGCACGGATACCAAGACGGCCGACGCCGAGCCCGAGGTGAGGGCGGAGAGTGTACACGTGTCGGCAATTTGTGCACGACGACGCCTGCTGTGCCCTTGCCCTGTTGTTCTATTCTTGCCCTGCTTGGTTAGGTGCTCCGTGATGCTGGCAATGCATGGTTTCACAACTGCCAGCTGCCCTCCCCCTCCCCCCCCCCCCG